TTCCAGTCCCACAGTGCATTTCACTCCAGGCGCTATTTCTCAAGGCCCTAGAAGCACGTACACTGCCGCCTCACTGAGCAGAGCACTTACGCTCTGATTGCCATGCTTGTAGATATCAGTCCTTCCCTTCACGGGTCATCTCCTTGATTAAACCCATCTTATCTGAGCAAACTGTGGACGCCTCTCTCTGGTCGCATGCAGCATCTCAAGTGGATTTCTAGTGCATTTTGGGCATAACGCCGAATTTCCGTGACGGTTTGTTTATCCGTTTGCCAAGTACCCTGACTGCCAGGCCCCCAAAGTTGTACTGTTTGTTTTTTTCGAAAAGGACATCACACATTGACAACGTCTTCGCTTTATTGCCGAAAACCCCTTTCCCACAGTTTCTTCCTCACGATCCCTTTTCCTCCTGTTAGCGGTAGATTCTTAATCCAGGCGTCTCCTTTTCGCTGGTATTGCTCCATTCTTGTTTTCCCCGAGCTTGCTCAGGCAGTAGGCAAAGTTATCACTAACTCTACCTTCCTCCAATCTCCTGTTCGTTAGATTTGTCTCCCAAAGGATGTCAGCGGTCTCCGTAATCTCGCGCCTTCTGGTGTTGTCACCGTATGGGGCCCTTCTTTCTGTTGCCTTCCAATTGATCTCGTGTTCAGTCTGTGCGATGTGTTACGCTAGTTCTGGCTGATTCTAAGGCAGTTCCAAAGACCCAATTTAAAGTTTAACTCTTGATGGTTTCATCAACATAACTGAATACTCAAAATATATTTATTTTTCACTTTTTTTTATGACATCTTATCTTAGGCTCACTTACCTACTGCTTTTTTCATCTATTTCTTCACACCAGGGCAGCCTGTCAGTTTGGCAGAAGACCCTAGATTCCGGCTGGGTGCCCGGCCTTCCATTGACTGGCCACATCGGTCCTGTGACCGATCTTGATTGGTACCAATCTGTTTCTCAACCATCCGGCCACTTTTCACAGCATGCTCTGCCTTCCAGTGAAACAGCTCTAGACGAGCATGACCCAATCGGAATTACGACTGGCAGTCTTCTATTGTCATGCAGTGCTGATCAAACGGTCCGCATCCACTCCGATTGTCATCATTTTTTCTCGCTTCATCAGCTCTCATGTAGGTTCCAGTGCCGAATAGTAAATTGAAATATTAGTGATTTCATTAAAAACCTGGCTCTTCAGGATGTATATCTGTTTGCTTTTTATTTATTTCCATTTCATCCAATGTAAGGCATAACTAAAAGAAGTGTCATAATTTCTTCAGAAGCCGTTTTATTCCCCACTTCCTTACTAGTTAGTTTATAGTTTTAGAGAGTTCGCATGAAAGCAAAAGCATAACATGCAAAAGGTATGTGCTTCTTCATCTCTTTTCAATTTTTGTAAAGTTTGTCTTGGAGAGAAGACTATCAGATTGCATGAAAAAGTCCTACATGCTTGCATATTGGGGTATTTAATTAATGAAAAGAAAGTGAATTTTGTAGCTATTTATAACATAAATAAACCAGTTTATGATCCTCTAACATTGACGCATGCTTAAGTATGCAGTATTTCCCCCTTAGAAATTGAACCCCGAAGCAATTTAGCAATTTAGCAATTTAGGCCTATCTAGCTCATGATCTAAATGGCTTGTATAGACTAACCTTGGTTTTTAACTGTTTTTAAAATAAATTAAGGATATAGCCATCATGTGCTGGCATAGTTTTGTGATTTACTTATTTATTCTAGATTTATTTAACTTTCATTACTTCCTAAAATGTCACCTCACTTTGAACTCACCACCACCATTTGGCCCAACTTATCACAATAGAGCACTTTATACGAGTATCTAGACGACCACAACTCATGATTCACGAACTAGGCCCTTTAGACTGATTTTAGTTGGCTCTACTCTGTAGGATAGGCTCGCATCTTTTATTAACACATTCACTACGATGCAGTGCAATCAAAATACTGACAGAACAATGTACATATTCTTCGTTTGTGAGTAGGCATTCGGGATTTGTCCAGTCAATGTTTTGCAGCCATCATAAATGGATTTAAATGCATTTCGCAGCCAATTCATCCGGTGCTGATTTCCTTATCATTCCTTGCAGCCCCCAAAACCATTAATGCTGGGTTATGCGATGAAGCATGCTTATTCGATACTTTTAGTAAATCTTGAATAAGAATTTTATTCACCCTGGGTCGCATGATGTGATGCAGAATTGGTGGCAGCAGTTTTCCTTAATCAAGTGAGTAGGGTGAATACATTTAAGATCAGTTTATAGTCCACAAATGTGTCTTTAAAATAAACTTTTATGTACAGCATGCATAACATTCTTTGTCGATTGGATAGTATATTGTTTGCTCATCCTAATGCTACAAAAAAGACTCGATCCGTTTATGATTTTCTCGATTTATACGTTCCATTAGGGAAGATTTTTTATGTACACATTTCTGTCTGGAAATGAGTGTATCACTCTCCATGAAAGTAAACACATTCTATTGGCACAAATGACTATTTCGTCTGTGTTATGCGAATGACTTAAATGGCTAGCTGCGTAGGATTATTGTGCCTGTGAGATTGCGGTAATGATATTCATTCAGACATTTTAGAAATAGTATAAACTAGCTTTTGCTAGCACCTCTTTTGTATATTTAGCCAACTCATACTTACATTATTAAATTTATTTTAAAATATTATAATCCGATTGCTAATCTTACTAAGAGAAATTATTTTCTGGAAAACTGATGGGGTTACAGCATTTCATCATATCGAGGATATTCTACTGTTTTCTTGAGACAGATTTTATCTCCTCCGCTAGCCTTTGACCAGGAATTTTTGTCTTAACTCCTTCATCTCACTCATAGCTTACTAAGGAGTAGCCCCTAGAACCGACTGTACTCCATTGAAGTCTGAATAGCAACTTTGACTTGGAATGGGAGCATTCTTTATTTGTCTTTTTTATTCCCATTTCTCGTTGTCACAGATGAGTCAATCTGTTTGATCGCAGGATGGATACTGACCATAGCGTTTCTATGCCTCATTTCGTGCCACTCGAGAGATCCATCGTCTTCCGACATCTTCAAATCGCGATAGAAATTTTATACTAGCTTCATGCTAAATTCAAGGGGGCCTTTGAGGAAAAAAATATTTGCAACAGCGTATCTATCCGATGTATTCATCCTATTTCGTCTAAGGTGACGAAGGACTGTTAGTTGGATTTTCCCATAATGATATGAATAGTCTTAAGGTCTATTTTCACCATATGCTGCTTGTCTTTATCTCGCCATCCTGTCGATTTCGTGTACGATCCATAAAATATATACGAATGTATCGGATCTTTCACTATCCATGTTCCTGCAAAGTATTTTTTCCTTGATTTGTAGGTTGATTTTTATTCCCGCTTCGCAAATTTACTTTGCTCACAGTTTCCGCATGTTATGCTGCAAATTCCCGAGCATTCCAGTTTGTCCACTTTCTCGTGTTGCTTCGGCAAACTGGTGACGAGAGTTGTCTTTGCTTTCGTGGTCATGTGGATATTCTCTTTTTCTAATGTCAGTCTGGGTTAAGTTCACAGGAGGGCAAAAATAGCCACTTCTGGTCATTTTTTTCATTCCTTATTTTATTTTAATAGCAGTAATGTTGTCATCTGCTATTTACAATCCTTATACATCTTTGTACAACTTCTCTGAGCTATTCGTCTGTTTGTTCAATTCTTCTTTCCGGAACTCCATTTCTGTTTTTCTCATATTTTTGTTGTTCCAACTCCTTATTATCGCGATCTTCACTCCTTAGTTGTGGTGACACTGACAATTGAGGATTATTTCCGCATGTTATTTCTGTCTGACTAGTTTCCTCTTATGTGTCTTGTTGGAGCGAATAACTCCAACATCATTCACCTCTGCGAATTCGATTCTTTTTTTAGATTCTTTTATATAGTTCAGGAATTATTCTGAATTTTCCCTGCAAATTGCAAATTGCTGTAGTGACATTCTAAATTCTTATCTTAATTTGTCCATATATATATATATATATACTTTT